ACCTTTCTTTCAGAAAAGGTCACCACGGAGTCAGGTTCCTGAACTTCCCAGGGATTCTGTAGCTCTAAAGCTAGGATCTTTTAGTCTATGGCATCATGATAGCCTAAAGCAACATGAATTAATGAGCCTTTTTTTAAATTCCCACAAAACCTTTTCAGAAGTCTAGGAGCAATCAGGAGCGATACCAGTCCAGTTCTTGGTGATCAGCAACTGAGACATTGCTGAAAAGCACTGTAAGAACGCATAAAACCATCTGCACGTAGGTGAAAGGCTGAAGGTTCCTATGTCTGAGTGAGGAGGTCTGATTGTCTGATGTCTGCTCTGAGCACAATTATGGGAATTTAGCCTACAGTGCTACCAAGCTGCCTTCTTTCTGTTACATTCAATGCAGTGAAAAACAAACAAACAAACAAGGCAATGAATTTTTTCCCCAATGATTTTTAGTGTAAAAATAGCTCACTACACACCTCAGACTGCAGGAATTAAGTTCTAAGCCATGGCAGATTCAAATAAATTGATTTGCTAAATGAATAAATAGAAACCCTTGATTTACACAACATTTTAAGTAAGAGAACAGCTGACTGAAACAGGTTTAACACAGATACTAGGTTAAATCTTAAATTAGGTGTGCAAAGCTTTTCATTTTTTCAGGGTGTGGCTCACACATGGAACAAACAAACCAGTTTTTAAAGAGTTAAAACACCCACAATTAGAATGATTATTTTAAAGAATCATAGAATAACTCAGATACAGAGTTGTAGACTCTATAAGAAAATAATCATATTATTATTCATTCCAAAGGAGTGACAGCTGCTTACACTGCTGAACTGCATCATCAGTCTTTTGGTTTAAATTATTTCAAATTTTCTAAAAAGTGCATTTATATTATATACTTTGTATAACTTATCTTCTTATCTTTAGTTTCTTTTTTTTAAAGATACATCTGAATGGTTTAAATAAGGCAGAAGAAACTGCATAAAAGGACTCCCTTTCTGAAATGAAAAAGTTGCTCAGTTTTGGGGAAAGAAAATCATTTAGGGGCAGGTGGACTAGATGAACTCAAGAGGTACCTTCCAACGTGAACAATTCTGTGATTCTCTGAGAGGTATTTTTATACATTACATGTTATATACCTTGTATATAATATACCTTATATATTATAGACACAATATATTTTATTTAAAATATTAAATATATTTATTTATATTAAACATACAGTATTTTATTAAGTATTGTGTAATTATTATACATTGTATTTATATATTCTATATTCTACGTATCATGCAAATCAAAATTAAAGAACAGATAATGTTGTCCTTTCTCTTTAAATAAAGTTACAAACTAAAAAAGTGTTAGCAAAGAAAAAGAGAGAGAAAAATAGATGTTCCTGTGTTCTTGATTATTTTTACAGCACAGTCTGCAATTCAACGTGTATAGTGACAACAGAGAAGTAACTACTATGACTCTTAGTACTGCAATTCCTTATGCAAAATAGATCACTCATATGTGTCTATACCTACATATATATGACAAACCAATCCTAAAATAATACTGGTTCATTTGTATTTATCATTCTGCATGCAACCACACCTTTCTACCTATTCTGAAGGTCATGAACACTGCATAAGGGGGGCTGGACACGGATTCCTAGCATCCAAAGATTTTGGAAAGAGAGACTGCAACTGCTTTCCAATCAAGTATTAACACCAGGCTGCACCTATTGCTGCTGGACAGAAACCGAGTAATCACACGCCCTTCACAGGTGGAGCGTGGGAGGTGAAATCCACAGTCAGTGAATGAGGTTGCTGGGCAAGACACACTCACACACACACACACTCTCCCACACCACAGCTGCTACTGCTGTTCCTGTCAATAGCCCCACCGTCTGAATGAGAAAGGCTTTCTACAAAGGTGAGCTGATTCAGCTGCACAAAGGTTTAAGGACAGTTTTACTAATTATTTGCTGAATTACAGATATCTTCTACTAAATAATGGCAGCAACTGAGTTGCTTTCAGCTGGAACAGGAGTGGACCCCTAAGAACTGCCACCTGCTCTCTTGAATCAATGACTAAACTTGTGCTGACTTCAATCACCCTAGAACAAACAGACCTTTAAACCTGAGGCTTTCCCTCAAACAAAAATGGACTCAAATCAGCAGCTGTTTTGCTTGGAAAGGCTCCTGTATGAACTTCCAATTGCTAAAAACAGCCCCATGACACACAGAGATGCATATTGGCACTGCCCATCATCTATCCACCTCTGAGGAGCTGAGCTTTTGCTCATCATCTTCCTGCTGGAGAGTATCAGGAAACATCAAGATATATGTGTATTTTCCCCTACACATGAAACTAATTGTTCTAAACCTTGTTATTTGTTGGCAACCAGCCAACAGACAGAAATGTGACGTGGTAACTTTTAATCTAGGTTTTGCTTGTATTTTTGTACAACAGGAAGGAGGGAAAATGTAGTAACAAACATCAAAATAACTAATAAAATCAAAACAACCATAGTCCCTTCTGTTATGCTTTTCTTAATTGAACAGTACATTACTACAGAAGACATACAACCTTTTGACTGGGGATCTGTGTCTCACAAAAATCAGGGCAATCAATGAACAAATCAACCTCAACCAACTCCCACATGTGAAGCACATCAGTTCTCTAGTAAATTTGTTAAATAACACTAAAAAAAGGGTATCAGGAAGATCTGATATGAATACCGTGAAGATTCCTGGGAAATATGCACTTCAGAAATATTTAAATTTCTTAAACATTATGACATTAACACTGGTGAACCATTATAAATACTTATGAATGACTAGGGAAGGGGATTATATGTGTTGCTCACCACAACTGATGATGTAGATCAGCCTATGGTTCTGAGAATGTTAATGTGGGGACCGTCTTATCTTTTGTTTCCCTGAAAGACTTTACTCCATTGTTCCTCTAACACAGTTTATTTCCCTTTTATTAAGCACTACGCAAAAGAACTTACAACATTTCATTCCTTGCTACTGCTGAAATGCAATCCCTGAAGGCCCCCAACTTCACTGATCTCTAAAGTACCTCACAGGAGGTGACAGAAGCCATAGACAAAAACCACAGAACCATGCTGAGGCAACCAACCACAGGGAAGCAAAACTGGTTTGGCTGATTATCACAGGCCTAATGAAGCTGGTGGCTGGGAGTGGCTGACATTTCAGGATTGGTCAGCTCAGATACACGGAACAACCTTTTATATCCTGTGGCACAAGTAAGTGCCTTCAATACTGGTCTGACTTTGTAAATACATTCTTCATGGCAATACACAACTATTGGGGTTATCACCATTTGGCATTTTGTAAATACCACAAGACACACAGCTTTGATACTTTATACACACTTGATACAAGCTGCAATGCCTGAGTGTATCTTATATTAGGGAAATGAGTTGGAGCTGCCTACAACAATGATTTGGAGATATCCCAGCTCAGCAGCTGGGCAGTAGAGATAGATGACCTCTACAGATCAGAGGGACAAGATGGAGCTGAACCTCACTGGGATGCTGAAAGGTCTCTCACTAATCTGACATGTACATCAAATAAATAACAGTAATCTAATGAAAGACCTTACAATCATTTGTAGGCTACAGATTGTCTATGAAAGTGCTTTTAGGTTCTTTCCTTTGCATCTAAAATCTTTTTATTTTAACCTAATAGGATATATAGGAACTTGTATTAAAAGCTCTTTTATCAACTATTTGTTTCCCAAATATTATAAATTGCATAGTATTTACAGTTGAATTTATATTGTACTGTAAGCATTTCTTTTTCCCTTCAAATCCTACATAAACTGCTAGCCTTATTAACTCAAGGCTAAATATCAAATCTTCAGCATATTTATCTTTTATACTCCTTTTTTTCATACTCTGAGATACATCAGTTATAATAGTGGAAATCTGTATACAACCAATAGTATTGTTTCAGAGGTACTGATGTAACTGAACTAGAACAAAAACGGAAGTTCTTATTTATACCAAGCCTTTATGTATTTTTAATGTTCATGGTCTAATTCATAAATCCGCCTTAGAGTGTTGTTTTCCTTTCTTTTCCTTTATGAAGATACAAGAATGGCACATTTGATGGGGGATTAAAAGAGAACTCCAAGATAAATTATTCAGGAGAGCAAACAATATTCTTTTCTAAAGAAAATTACAGCTTTTAGAAATACAATGCAGTATGTGCAGAGCCTGTGTAAAAACAGGAAAGCAAGAAAATAAGAATGAAATAAATGACTAGTTTTGAAACAAAAATATTATTTCTGATACCGAAATGATTGGCCTATATTTACTCAAGTGAAACATGAATTCAGACGTGTAGGGTGAAATGCTCATCCTGTTAGTCAGTGACAAAACACTTACTGACTTGAGGGGAACCAGGATTTCACCCCATCAGTGTGAAATATTTATAGTTACTTCTAATCCATTTTAGGCATTAAATTGAATAAATTTTGTTACTTTTCTTTATGTTTTGTTACTTTTCTTTGCTCCTTCTTTTTGGGAAAAAAATAGGAACATAAGGTGGCTGTTTGGACTAGATGATCGTTGTAGGTCCCTTCCAACTGAAATAATTCTACTTTCTATTCTATTCTATTCTATTCCTTGAGTTTATCTATCCTAAAACCTTTTTTGGCTTTATACTTTCAAAGTTCTTATGAAAGAACAAACCCTTCTGTACTCAACAGAGGAATTCCTTTTGCCAGGGATGCATGGGAAAATCATGTGTTAAGAAGGATAGATTTCAGAGAAGGGGTCTGGTCTTCAAAAGCTCTCAGAATATTACAAAATAAAAAGATGCCACTCCATTTGCCATGGAGAATATAAAAGCTAGAGTAAATGACTGCGCTATGCTCTGTGCTGCTCTGCCTGATCAGCTCCTTGCATCTAATCTAGGTAGCCATAAATTGTAAAATAATAATTCGGGCTGACAAAACTGCATATTAATATAAGTAATGTACTGTACCTAAGGATCCTTGCCAGCAGTCTCATTTTGCAGGAGAATATAAAACTGAGATATCCTTGCTCTCAAGTCCTTGGTTGAGGGAGAGGTTGAAGGAGCAGAAGAAAATTCACATCTCTGTCGCCCCTGGCATTCCAGTTCTATATTGGAAAATCATAAATCACCTCAGATTTTTTTCAAGAACTAGGTAAAATATTTCAAACACTCACATTCAAAATTTGTGGTTTTGCCCGCTCCACTCCATATTAGGGTATTAAGTGTATTTACAGAAGATACCTGTCAAGAGCTAAATGGGTCCTTACAGGACCAGACCAAGCACAGTGACTATGCCGAGGTAAAGGTCTTTATTTTCTGCCTGAATGAACTGATCTAACAGGGACTGAGTGCTTTTCTTGCTTTCCCCTCACCCATACAGCACAAAGGAGCTTGGAGGTGGACAAAACCAGCTCCAGCTAGGTACTGCATTGGCAGAAGAGGGTAGCAAATGTCACCCAGTAGCTAATTAACTGTTGTGAAAGAACAGAGTAATTATGTCTCTAAGGCAGTTTTTCTTTTACTTACTCGGCCTGTGATGACCACAATTGGGGTTACACTACTTATGAACCACTGTTTGAATAAGGGCACAGTCTATTTAAAGGCTTGGAACAACACTAAGTGTATAACTGTCAGAATACATATTGTTTATCTGCCCACATTACTATTTTATTATGTCCTAAGAAGTGTTCTCTCTGTAAAAAATTTGTTACCAAGTTATCAATTAATGTGATTTTTACCACAACTTTTGCACAATTTGGTGGTTTCTTTATAGCACCATTTCCTAGAATCAGATGATTCTGTAATTATTTAGGAAAAAAAAAGTTTCTAGCCCAGTGGTTTGCATAGTAAACCTTTAATTTATTATCTAAAAGAATCAAATATCCCCAGTTTTTTAGGGAAAAAAATCTAATTTTCTGTTTGTCTGGATTTTTCCATACTTCTGCTGCACCAGCTGTCTGGGCTTTCCTGTGCAACAAGGATATTGATCTCAGGGAATCATCTGTAAGTCTTCCCAGGAAGAAGTTTAGAACTGGCTCTATGCTTTCTATCTCTAGGAAATGAAAAAAAATTGCAACCTGGATTTACTGGGAAAAAAAGAAGCCGTGGCAGAACGTCCTCGGCAACTAAATAAGGGATTTTAACTGCAAGTAGTACATGGAGAGAACTGATGCATTTTACTGATGATGTAGACACAGCAAGTCTTGACAAGCTCTGATCATGACAGTGATGCCACCATACACATAGTGATGAAAGAAACATAGCAGCAGACAACAAGGAGAAGAATGTCATCTAATAACAGAAAACTGCAGCCACAAGAAAACACAGATTAAAACACCAGACTTCCATGTCTGACCCATTCACACATTCTGAAAGTGACTGGAGCTGGTGCTAAGGATGGCAGAACATTTTGAATGAATCAAAGAAGCTGTGGTATGAAGAAGACCTCAAAACACTTTTAGTTGGTTTTGACTTTTGACAGTATTTGGGTACACTTGCATTTTCCTCAGACACAGATGGGTTACAAGGCACCGACAATAAGGTCGAGAGCATGGACATTTAACCAGCTGCAATTATCCTACTAAGATGCTTCACAGCTCACATCTGGAGCTGGAACAGTGACCTAGCATCATGGTAAAGCTGTCCTGAAACTCTGTCAAAGCAGAACTGTGTACTCAACTACTAAGCTGGAAGCAGTACCTCACATTGTTTAGCTGTACCGGTGCATAATTAGAGAACACTGCCAGTTTCTCTTAAAGGACCCCTGCAGCCTCGATTGAAAGAAAGGTGAAAACGGTGCCAGGAATGCTAAAGATTCTAAAACAGGAAAACTAACATAGACCAATGAGTAAGACTTTGTCATTCCTTTTGACTACTGCTTCCATAGGTTTCATACACAGCAAAAGAGTAGTTTAAGGTGGCACAATAACTCTACACTCACACACTTGGAAAATTTGCTTTCCTTGCTCTCTCAGTCAAATCATCCTCAATGAAAGTTCCTCACAAATTTCTGCCTATAATTAAATGAAAAACACAAAACTCCACTTGAAATCCATATCAAAATGCAGTACTGTACAAAACAGGATATTTAGCTAAAATACAACATAAGCCTGTATTCCATGATAATCAATAGATAGTGCCATGTAAATACATAGCAGAACTTAGGCCCAGTATTCACTGAGTGGCTTTCCCAAAACATCTTCAGAACTGAATTAAACCAGAAAACTAACATTAGTAAAAGTAGTCACAAAGATTAGTATTTGTGAGATCAGAATGATTTCCCCTTGTACCCAGCAAAACCCTTAAACATATCCTGAATTATAAACAAGTGAGTAATTCCATCCCTATGCGACAAGCTCCTTAAATACAACGGGAATGCTTAAGTGTTCTGCTACACAGGGATGCCATTACTCACATGCTTAATGATAAGCACGTGCTTATTACTTAACTTTTTATGTTGCCATGCCTAAAAAGAAGCATACAACTAATTAATATACAATTATGAGAGTCCACACCCCCAGATCTTACTGCATAAAAGAGAAGAGAATACAGAGAAGAGATAAAAAAGCAGTAGAGTGACATCTTTGAAATTAAATGTAAATTGAATCTGCCTGAATATTTTACAGGTGATCAGTTTGAATGATGACAGATTCAGCCTTATTTCACACTAGCTTGAAAGAGGAAAAATAGTCCACTTCTTTGGCATAGTCTTCCCTTTTTTTTTCCCTGTGTGTTTTGACACTTGATCTGTACAAGATACCCACAAAGTGCTCTTCACAGATGCATTTTGTTAATTAGCTATATGCTGTTTTTCAAATTCTGTAGACTAAACAGCAGATTTGGTACGCAAAAAGCATCTTGACATGTCCCGAATGCACTCCAATATTATTTAAGCAGATGTAGCAAGTCACACAACAAGATTTTCACGATATTCCAATTTATTTTCACATTAGTAACTGCTTCTGCAATTTTAATTCATATTAATATTTTCTGCATTGTCCCCAGCAAAGACAGACTTAATGAAATCAAGGAAATGAGCAAAAATATTTGTGGTTTTCTCCAGACTCGTCTATGAAACATTAAGATGCAACTTTCTTCAATAGGGAAATTTTACAGTCATATACATTGGAAGTCCATTTTCAACACAGACTAGGAAACTAAGAATTAAAATTTTCAAGTTTTTACCTGTGAAAAAAAACATGTATGCAAATAAAAGATGCACCAGAGTATTTTCTTCTAAGTAGGTTACAATGTTGTCACTCTATAGAGATTTTGATAGCCTATCTCTACAGCCTCTGATCTCTACTTTGGGATCACTGCACAGCTTTAGAAATACACTCTTCTATAAAAGGGAATAAAACATGCCAGCCTTGGAACAGGTTGTTTGCAGCAGCAAAGTCAGTAAGTAAAATGAAAAAAAAAAATCATAAAGTTATATTAAATGCAACACACTAGGCTTCATTTTAATGTAGCCCCCTGCAAGAGGGCTATTACTGCACCTCTTGCTTAAGAAGAGCTTCTCACAATTTCAGGAGGACTAGAGCATAAATTAGAATTTTAAGGGTTTTTTCAGTGTTTCAATCCTGAAGTTGGTGACCCTGTCCCCACTAGAAAAAGTATACAGATAAAAACCTTTAACTTTTAATGGTGCAATTACTGGCATCAATGCACTTTCTGCATATAAATCTAAGCCAATACATGAATGTGTTGTTAGACTGAGGGCAAAATGCTCAGCCCCAAAGTCTGATCTTCCAGTCATTCCTTGCTCAGTGTTTCACTTGATGCCAATTCCAATGTCACTTCCAAAACTTATTCTTTATTGCTGTTCAAGCCTTTTTCCTTGATGGGATGAAACAATAGCATATCATCTAGTCCATATTTTTGCACATAAAATATTTTACAAAGTCCAAAATTTGTATATCTCTCGTTTGTTTCTTCTTTTTGGGGGATGTTGCTCAGCAATAACTACAAAGTTCTTTCTAGAACTTCTAGAACTGGCCTTTCAGATTACCTTTCTTTATTATAGAAACTGCAAGGCTTTCTTCAGTGCGTTTTCAGGCACTACATCTTATATCTTTGCTTGCCACTGGGTTTCCTCCATATTATAAGATTGCTTTACAATTACTGAATCTCCCCTTTTTTCCTTCTGACTAAATTTATTAGTTCTTTTTGTTTCCTTTACCTTAGTCTTAGCCTTTCAAGTTTGCCAAAATTCTCCTGGGGACAAGAAAAAAGAACTCACTTGTTTTTGTGAAGAAAGGGCTAGAATACAAGAGAGAAGATGGATTACAGACATGTTTTAGACATGTGGGGCATCTGCTGGTTTGGTAGCCTCATAGGACTTTCCATGGAAAGGAAATACCCAGTAGTTTCTCCTTCTTTTCCACAAGCCTATTATGTAAAAGGATGATGTGGAGTGCTTGACTGAGCTCTTACACTAAGAGCTTATAAAACTTTTCCTCACTTAACTACATTACATTTTTTCAAATTAAATTGATATTCTACAGAAAGTCTACTGCATTTATCATCCTAAACTTTCAGCCTATCATGCTGACACTGCACAGGTGTTGGGATTTTTTTTCTTCTGAGTTGTAAGGAATATGGAATTTGGGCTTTAATCTAAGCGTACTAGATTTGCCATTTCTTAAGACTTTAGGGTTTTTTTTTCCAGAATGAAATCTTCTGGGCTTGTTTCTTGCTTCTCTTAAGTAGTGTCTATGCTCTGTGCATTTTTTCAGTCAGGTTTTCAATTCCATACTACCTTTTCCCTGTTGGAAGTTTTGACAAGACCCTCTGGTTTAAAACTTGTGCTGTTCTGTTGATTTCATCTGGCTGTTTATACATGCCAAGGAGAAGCAGTTCATTTCACTGCGTACAGGAAACTGCGCCTGTAATTCTTTTGCAATTTTCAATGCCAATTACATTGTCTACACTAGTAAGTTTGAATGCCAGACAGATCCTTGGAGTCTGCTTGCTTTTGCTTAATGCTGACTTTAGGCATGTGAGGTCTGTGATCTCCTGTTAACTATGGCATTCTTGTTAAAATATGACTTTCCTCAGCCCACATTTAACTGCCGCACAATTAAAACAAATCCTTATGTTCCATATTTTATAGTGGTGTTGTCAAACCACCAGATATGAAACACAAAGTCTTCTAAAACGAACCATATATTTGATAGGGAAATGTGCTACCAATTTTTGTGCAGCCACATGGTTGACTCGAAAAATGTATGTGGGCTTTTTTATTATCACTAACTAATGAATTCTTCTTCCATTCAAGAACAAACTGTTCCTTTAGAGGCTGTGGATTCATGGTCTTCTCCCAAGACTTCCGTGCAGAAAGCCAGCTCATTTGATATGAGGAGGTGAAGCAGATTTCAGGAGGATGATCAGATGTCCCTTGGGACCGTGTGGTGACAAGCACTGCACAAGTGCAAAACATGTGTGCTCCCCATTGGCCAGGGGTACCGACTGGTATGAAGCCCACAGGGTCTGACAAACGAGGCCTAGGCATGAAGGTTTGCCTGCTAGGAGAAGTCCTGATTTCATGGCCATATTGAATGAAGGCAGCAGCCCAGCTACAGCAGTAGTCAGGCTGGCACAGTTAGTCTGGCTCGGAGTAGGCAACATCCTGGTGTACACGAGGCTGTCCTCACCCTCCCCTGC